TGTGTGTGTGTGTGTGTATTATAGGAACATTTATAGGAGAAATTACACAGTTCTGCCTTCAATATCAGAGAAAGAATCTCAGAGAAAGAATATACTAGCTAGACTTTGAAACATTGAACTTTGATTTTGGAAAATTGGCGATCAAGGGTAAGGGCAACTAACTGTCCCAATTTGCCTCAAGACTGAGGGATTTTTTTTTTTCAGCATGTGTGACTTTCAGCATTAAAACCAGAATCAACTGGGATGATTGTTTATCCTGACTTAAAATATAAGTTTCTTTCTAGCTTTTATCTTCTTTTCAATATGATTCCCATTTTTATGTCATTTCTCTCTAAACTCAGTCTGTTTGAAATATTAATCTAACAGCCCATTAAACTCAGTTAAAATCAGTTGAAGACTTACTCCCCTTTTGTGGGGTCTGGAAAGGCTTAATCTTCACTCTCTTGATGGGGTGGGGTGGAGAGATAGTACATTCAGTCTCTCTAGTCAAAGAAAGCACAGCAAAGTAATAATGTTAAGAATAATAATAGCAAACACAAATTGAGTTGTTAATTATTGTATGCACACTTATGCTGGGGAGATCTGTGCAATGGGTATAATGAAGAAACCCAGGCATTGAAATATTAAGTAGCTCAAGTGCTGAATCTGGAAGTGAAAACTAAAACAATATGGCTCCAGGCTCAATATTCATCATTATGCTATTGGATTTCCATATTAATTGCTAAAATTGCATATCCTCAAAAGAGGGCTGTTGTTGCTGTTGTTGTTGTTGTTTAACTTTGTATTCTTCCTTTTTTTAAGATCGAAAGAATTAAGGGCATTTATTAAGACTGTAAAAACAGTAGAAGTCCAGAAAGCAGAGGGGATGGTGATAGAAGTTATAAGAGAGAATTAGCAGGGGGGAACATTGGCCTTAAAGAGTCTTCTTTCAATGAAGGGAGTGAGGTTTAATACTATTATTACCAGACTTTGTAGTATAAAGAAATGGATGAAACACGAAATCCAGAAAATGTATAAATGAGAATAATCTCAGTTTAAGTGAAGTGCTGTGATTTTCCATATCTATTTTCTTCAAAATTTCTTCTTGTGTTATTTGAGAAGGAAGGAGAGAGAATGAAAAGGATAGATTAGGTTGATGTATAAGGCTTTCTAGGGTAAAATGCTTTCTGTCAAGCTCCTTGCTCCCTCTGGAACATTTTTAACTACCTTTTCAGTTTCGATTGACAATATCTTTAGTTCTCAATGAAACTCTTCCCTTAACATCCAGAACACAGTCTGTTTTTCCTTCTACTTCTGTGAACTTACTTCCCTAGTATCTTCCTGAGATCTTTCTCTTTCTATCAAATCAGGGTGTGTCCTAAAGATGTATTTTGTAATTTTACCATTCATTCATACACAAACTCTTTCCCCTCATCACTGTGGTAATGTCAACTCATATTTTTGCTTCTCATTAAATATTTGTTCAGCTAAATTAATAATGACAGGACTATAAATCTCTGATTTGTCAAAATTTGCTAAGATAGTTTTATAGTAGATACTATTGCCATAGTTTTTACATAGAAAAATAATTGATGGTTTCTAAAAATTACTATTTTTCTCCTTCTTGGCAGACTATAAACAATCCATTGTTAATTGGTTCTGTAGCCATTATCTATATATAGTTAGACATTTAAACATCTGAAATATCCTGCCTTCTTAAAATTTATAGTTTTAGTAACTTTTTTGTTTATTTTTTTAAAGATTTTATTTATTTGACAGAGAGAGACATAGCGAGAGCAGGAACACAAGCAGGGGGAGTGGGAGAGGGAGAAGCAGGCTGGAACACAAGCAGGGGGAGTGGGAGAGGGAGAAGCAGGCTCCCCACTGAGCAGGGAGCCCAATGCGGGGCTCGATCCCAGGACCCTAGGATCATGACCTAAGCTGAAGGCAGTCGCTTAACTGACTGAGCCACCCAGGTGTCCCACTTTTTTGTTTATTTAAAAATTTCAGTGTTCTTATTCACATTTGTTGCAGCAAGCACAGCCCAAATATTTGTTTCTAGATCCAAACCTACATTACCCACTTGAAAATGAATTTGAGTTGCCTGCACAAATCCTAGAAAATAATTAATATTACTCTATTGAAGGAAAAAGAAACTTGTTTTAAAGGAACAAATACTCTAGTGACTAGAGAAGTTTTCGCTAATGATTTGCAATAAAAAAAGGTCTAGACCCTGGACAACTTGCTGCAAAGACCGATTATGGTTTTGTAGTTAAAAGCACAGACTCTGGAGCCAAATGACCTCGGTTCACATATCTTATTAGAGAAATGACTTTTAGAAAGTTACCCAACCCCGGTAGCTCATCTAACACAGGGCCAATATAACTATTTCATAGTAAGCATTAAGATAATGAAGTATTAATAGTACTGACATATAACAGGCACTCAGCTATCACTCCTATCTGAGCAGTCAACCAGCCATAACTCCTTTATAAATACTTTATTTTTTACTTTTCATAAGTGAATATAAATAAAGCAAAATTTCAGTTTCCATTTGAACCTTCTAAAATGTAGTGTTTCCGGGCTGCCTGAGGGGCTCAGTTGGTTAAGCATCTGCCGTTGGCTCATGTCATGATCCCAGGGTCCTGGGATCAAGCCCTGTTTCGGGCTCTCTGCTCAGTGGGAAGCCTGCTTCTCCCTCTCTGCCCTGCTTGTGCTCACTCTTGCTCTCTCTGTCTCTCTTTCTCAGATAAGTAAAATCTTAAAAAAAAATAAAAAATAAAATGTAGTGTTTCTGTACTCATTTATCTTTAATTCTCAAGAGGTGAATAAAATACTGTAACTATTGTATGTGTATTTAAATATAAGGATATAGATATTTAATCAAAGAGCAAAAATTGTTGTGAAAATGCTGTTCTACATACACACATTTACTTTTATTACACAGCTAATATCAGGAGCAGCAGTTCTGGTATGATGAAAGAACTGGGTCTTTCCTAGGACCAGGGATTAAGTCTTTTTCTCTTTGATCTTGATTAACTAGTTAAACTTCACAAAACCTCAACTGTTTCATCTTTAAAGTGGAGAAAGTAATATCTGTATCGCAGTATTGTTAGAAATAAAAGAACCTGAACTTTATTAGTTTGCCAGAGTTGCCATAACAAATACCATGGATTAGGTGGCTATCACAGACATTTATTTCCTCATAGCTGCAAAAGCTAGAAGTCCAAGATAAGGTGTCAGCAGGATTGGTTTCATTATGAAGGCTCTCTCTGACTCACAGATGGCTGGCTTCTCCCTTTGTCCTCACATGGTTGTCTCTCTGTGTGCATACATGTCTGATGTCTCTCTGCGGGTCCAGATTTCCTTTCTTACAGGGGTACCAGTCACTGGATTAGGGCCCATCCTAAGGACCTCATATGAACTTAAGCACATATTTAAAGCCCTTATCTCCAAATACGGTTGCATTTTGTGGCAGTAGGGATTAGGACTTCAACCTATACATTTGAGGGGAAGCAGTCAGCCCAGAACCCTCTACCTTCTGAATCCCCAAAATTCATGACCTTCTCACATGAAAAATACACTTATTCCCACTTCAACAGCCCAAAAGTCTTAACCCATTACAGCTTCAGCTCTAAGTCCAAGATCTGTAAATATTATCTAAATGAAGTGTGGATGTAATTCAAGTAAGATTCATCTTAAGTTACATTTTTTCCTCTAGCTGTGAACCTATGAAACCAGATAAACTATCTGCTTCCAAAATGTAATGGTGATTCAGATAGAGGGTAGATACTCTTTTTCCAAAAGGGAGAAATCAGAAAAAAAAAAAAAAAAGAAAGAAAGAAAGAAAGGGGTCACTAGCCCCAAGCAAGACTGAAAACTAGCAAGGCAGATATCATTAAATATTAGGGCTCATTAAGACTAATCTTTCACTCGACATGCTTCTCAAGGCCAGCCAAGGGAGCAGCCCCTGTCTCTGCAACCTTGGGCAACAGCTCCATCTCGTAGGCCCTGAGCAGTTGCTTAGGCCAGTGGAACCAACAAAACACTTCCAGCCTTCAGGCCTGTGTGTGTTCTGAGGTACTGGGGGTAAGGACTTCAACATAGAATTTTGGGGGGGACACAGTTCAGCCCATAACATTCACTATTTTCTTTTTAAAGGGCTATACAACTAATAAAATTTAACATGTGGGGGTGCCTGGGTGGCTCAGTTGGTTAAGCGACTGCCTTGGGCTCAGGTCATGATCCTGGAGTCCTGGGATCGAGTCCCGCATCGGGCTCCCTGCTCAGCGGGGGGTCTGCTTCCCCCTCTGACCCTCCTCCCTCTCGTGCTCTCTGTCTCTCATTCTCTCTCTCTCTCAAATAAATAAATAATAAAAAATAAAAATAAAAAAAAAAAAATTTAACATGTGGGCATCTTTGTTATTTTAAAGAGACAAAAAATGAGACCAAGCAGTTAAGTGAATAGTTTAGGATACACTGATTGTTAGAAGCACAGCCAGGCTTAGACTTTTTTTCCCAATTTTTCCTGGCCATCTTTTATAATGTACCGTTGCAGATTTCTTTTCTCCTATGATTCCCTTAATCTTTAGATTAAACTTCTCTTTCTCATCCTCCTATTCTCCTGGAACAATTCCCTTCACTGCCATGGCTTCAAATATGACAACTATACTTCTGCTCAGGATTCTGCTCTCCATCTCCATCCCATTCCGTCACTGAGTTCCAAATCCTCATATCCAAATGACCACTGGACCTCTCCACTTGGATGTCCCCAGACTCCTCAAATCCAGTAATTTCAACCCTCAAAGTATTGTCTTTTCAATTCCAATGTCCCCAAACTCCTTTGTTCAAGTAAACGGGCCATATGTTACCTCCCCTAAGCTAGAAATCCTGATAGGATTCTTAACTCCTTCCTGTCCTTTACCCCTCATATATAACGAATCCCCATGCCTTATTTCTTCCAGCTTCTTAGAAATCTTAAATATGTCCACTCCTTTTCATCAACTCTTCTTCACTTTTTTTTTTCCGGTTTTCATTTTTTTATTGGGTCTCATTCAGCAGACACTGCGCCAAATGAAGGTCTTATAGGGGAGCTGCCACTGCCCCCCACCCCCCATCCTGCAGAGCACTAATCAGCCCATCAGGGTGATTCCCATCCTGCTCGAAGCCCAGGTACTCCATGGACACCATTCAGGAAGTGTCCATTGTTTGAACTGTTTCTTCCAGCACCTCGATTTCCAGGGCGGTGACTTTTTCAGTGAGGACTGCAGTGGTCCCTTTCTCACATCTGTACCGGCCAAACCTAGTCCCCTTCTTGTTGGGCACTGAGTACGGGCGGAGGAAGTCCAGCTTGCTCTTGCTGATGACACAGAGATCAATGTTACTTCCAGATCCCAGGTCGTTGAAGATGCCAGCTGCAATGGCTTCACTCACCAGCTTCTTGGCTTCCTCCTCCTCCATATCTGGCCTAAACTTATCTTCAAACACAGCCATTGCTGCCAAGGAGCCAGAACCCATGGTGACATAAGGCAACTTATCAGTTGATCCATGAGGATAGATGCTGTAGAGGTGAGGTCCAGTAACATCTACTCCCCCCAAAACTAGGGCTGCACCAATGTAACCTTGATACCTGAAAAGCATCTGCTTCAGCATCCGATTGGCTGTCACAACTCTGGGAAGGCGGCCAGTGGAGAGGGAGTGGAGCTCCAAATTGGAAGAAATGAGCTGGGTTGTCATGTCTGTGTCTGCAGCTGTCCCAGCACCACAGCAATAAATGTTAGGAGATATGAAGTGTATTTTTGAACAGTTCTTGTCCGCAACAACCATCCCTTCAGTTGCCCTTGTATCTGCTCCAAGAACTATGCCATCCTTATAGACCACCCCCGCGATGGTCGTGCCAGTTTTCCGGGCCGCTGGAAGCCTGTACCCTTTCTTCGCAAAATCGGCTTCCAAGACGGCATTTCTGCGACAGTTATCAAAAGAGAAACCTCCAACCGGCCGCTCATAGACTGACACAGCCGCCATCTTCCCGAGAAAGTCAACTCTTCTTCACTTTTTAAAATTCTTTGTTTTGCCTTCTGCCTTTTGCCCATGATATTCTCCTGAATAGGAAAATATATAACCAACTTCACATGTAACTAATTTAACATCATGGTGTTTTGATATACACTTAGAAATAACTCCTAGGGAAACTTTGATAATTACACTGTGTTAGTGTCCTGTCCACATGCTCTATTCCCACCACACTTTTATCTATCATGGCACTTACTGCCCTGAATTGTTAGAGCTTGTTTACTCATCGGATCTCCACCCACTCCACCATTAGACTGCACCTTTCTGATTTGTTAACCAATGTTTCTATAGCACTGCTTTCTTGAGACATAATAATCACTAAAGGCTACATGTGAAGAATGAATCCTGGCCCACAAGATTTTAATGCAATATTCATTGTGTTTTGTTAGGTTGTCACGTCTTGGGCTAAAATTTTTGAAGCCACAAGGAAGAAAATGTATATAAAACCGATTTTATTTTTAGAAGTACAGTAGCAAAGGGGTAACAGGTAGGAAACAGTAGGATACAAATTAGGAAGTAGGATACAGTATCTAGAAGTGTATCATTATTAATTTTGTGTCTCCGGGTTTTTTTTTTTTCCTTTTGCCTAGAAAGCAAATTGAGGGATATAACCTATAAAAAGGTCTCAGTTCATTTTGCCTGCCCTGTCACTTTTACATTTATTTGAGGTTTTGAAAAACTGATGCTTGAAAAATGTAGACATTTAACAAAATTAGTGTTCAGTTATAAAAAAAAAAGTTGTGAGCAATAGGAATAGTTATGCAAAGTAATTGTGAGGACCATAAAGCGTTTTAAAAATACATATACAAAATAGTGATGGGATGAAAGTGACATAACCAGCCTGAAAAGTGGTTGCCAGTAGGCAATATTTAAACGTATTAGCAATTCTAACAAGGTAAATGGGCAAAGGAGTTATGCATGAAGTTGTCTATTGCAGAGTAAGCTACAATCTGATTACAATAGGCAGAACTACAAGGAGACCTCAGAGTAAACTCAGGTCAAACTTTTTGTGAGTTATCTTAGCAATGACAGTATTCAACTCTAAGGAGAATGCGTGGAATAAAATATATATATTGTGTGTCTGTGTGTGTGTGTGTGTCTACGTGTGTGTGTGTGTCTGTGTGTGTGTGTGTGTCTGTGTGGGTATATATATGTATATATATGTGTGTATATATATGTATATATGTATATATATGTGTGTATATATATGTATATATGTATATATATATGTGTATACACAAAGACACACACACACACTTTCCTAGGGTGTTTCAGAAATTAGAGAGATGAGAAAGTTTATTAAAATATATTCTATTTAAATATTTTATCAATGCCATATAATATGTTAATATTTTATATTATGGGTTTTGTATTTTGATGTGAAATAAATGCGATGCTCATTCTACTAGCTGAAGGCATCTGCAAAGAGCTGGGTACAGGTATGAAGAAGATGTCTGAATCTTACAAAATCAGGTGGGACTAAGCATTAATATTTGGCTTTGTTCTTTATTTCATATTCTGCCCTGACCCTCTTTTGTAAGGCAGCACTGAAAGTTGCTAAGATGAAGGTGAGAGACGCAGTGTCCAGACAGTGAGGGGTTTGTCATTGATTTTCATACCAAACAAAAAACATGTTACTAGTATTAAAGTGTATCTCAAATGCTTGAGGTAGGGGTGGTGCACTTTCTAGAAGTTAAAAAAAAATTAACAATGCATAAAAAACTGTAACAATAACAGTAATAAATCCTTTGCTCAATTTTCCCAAATTGCCTTCTGAGTCTTTTAAATATGTCATTATTTCATTGGTTCAGATTCTTACCAGAAATCTGATCTACCTGTTTCCTGAATGATTCTCATTACCAAGATGCTGTCTGGAGTGTAATAAAGGAGGTCTTTTCCTCATTGATTTATAATTGACATATAACATTATATTAGTTTCAGGCGTACAACATAAGAATTCAATATTTATATGTATCATCAAATTACCACCACAGTAAGTCTAGTTTACATCCGTCACCATACATGGTTACAATTTTTTTCTTGTGATGAGAATTTTTAAGATCTACTCTCTTAGAAACTTACAAATATGCAATGCAGTATCATTAATATAATCACCATGCTGTACATTACATCCCCATAACTTATTTATTTTATAACTGGATGTTTGTACCTTTTTAAAGGAGGTCTTACTGAAAGAGAAAGTACATGTGTCATCTGTGACTTACCTCTTTTCCCTAAGTAGTAAATCTCTCCAATGCCACTTTTGACTTTAAGTTGATGAGGATAATTCAGGAGACCACTAAATAATCTTCAGTCTTAAACAACTTTATCTGCCAGTCCACCTTCATCTTGACAGAAGTCCTTTTGGATGCTCTTATGATGGATCCCTGTTTGCCCCATCCCAGTAACCTTGAAGCCTAACTCTTGATTGGGCAAGGTTTCTGGAACGATGTAGAGGCACTTATACTAATTCCTCAATTATGTATACTAAAAATAACTACCCTATGTGACAGTAATGAGACATAATGATTTGTGTGTTTGTTGGACAATAGGGTGGAAGAAGAGGTTCTGTATGAATTCTGGGAAGGTCATTACTCATAATCACCATTCTAACAAGCTAAAGTTGTGTTTTCTTGACATTAGCAATTGAAAAGCCTATTATAAATTGATCAGCCTGGAGAATGTTATACATAGGGTATATAATTCATTTACAGATACTCAGATTTATATCATAAATACCATGTTGTTAAGCTCTTATTATTTCCTAGGAGACTAATCTCTAGAAAGATATTCTTGCATTTTAGATTGCCCATTCCTATTAGTGAGCTTGCATGTATGTGTTTCTGTGTGTGTATATATATACTTATACACTTATATATTCATATATTATAAACATATTCATGTGTGTATGTGTGTGTATGTATGTATATATATATATGTATATATGAAATGCAATAGATCATAATAGAGGCCATTAAATAGTTTAAAATTTAATGAAAATCTATGAAGGTATTCATTAGGCCTTCTCTGGACCTTATGATTTCCACATTCACTGCCATGAAGTGAATTGATACTTTTTTCTGAAATTTCCAGAACCAGTATATTAACTTTGGCTTAGATAGCCAAAAGCTAATTCAATCCTTAGAAATATTCTAAGAGCATAGTAAAATGATCCAAGTCATTAATTTATTTCATTCATCAAGAATTGGCTAAAAAAAAAGAAATCTACTCCCTGCTTGGCGGGAAGCCTGCTTCTCCCTCTCCCACTCCCCCTGCTTGTGTTCCTGCTCTCGCTATCTCTTTGTTAAATAAATAAATAAAAAATAAAAAATAAATCTTTAAAAAAAAAAAAGAAATCTAAATTCCAAACAAAGGTGAATAAAGAGTACAAAAATCACAGAAGCATTGCTGAAGATTCCAGTATTTGACTTAAAAATAGTCTGTATGATAAGCTCCTGCCCATTCCCACCAGATTCCAGATTCCATACAATATCTATATCCACTCTCCCTGCTTATATTCTCTGAACCTCTGAAGAGGATGTGGGTGAAGGAAGGAATTTATATCCTTAGGTTGTAGGAGAAAGCAGCCTTCCTCACATAAAGGACTTTGAAATAAGTGTAAGTAAGTGTATCTGGGTTGTTCTTTGAAAGATAAATTGTAAATCAACACATAGCTTCTAGATGTTCAAGGTAACAAGATTGCAAGTATTATAACTAAGGGAAAAAAATATCAATCACAATAAGGTAACAATGGAAGCCTTGAAAAAGGTGAGTTATCAAATATCCTGTCCTATAGCAGGTTTATCCCTATTATGGGAATAGATGTATTAGGATATTGGAACATAAAGCTATTGCACATTAACATCATGTAATTCATTGTTCTTGCTCTCAAACCAAACTTCCGAGCACTTGTCTGATAACTTAGGTAGCTTCTTTCAGTCAGGTTGATCAAGCCTTCATAGACACTGAGTCTGTTGATAGTCACATTTCTCAATTTAATGCACAAGTCCTGATTTATATAGTTCACCATATTATGCTTGAATCTCCCTAAGTCATTCAGCTTAAGTACACTGGCAAAATAATTTTCTGGACTTGCCTAGGTACGGTCAGGTAAAGGATCAGATAAATACCATTTAACTCAGCCTCCTGAAATCTATATTTTTCCAGTTCAAATCCCTGAACTCATCTATCTTTAAAATGTCAAAAATCCCTACTTTGTTGGTTTGTAATGGGTATTAAATGAGATTATATACAAAACAAGGTTGGCCCCATGCATTTTACATATGGCTCGTGTACCTTTCCTTCTCTTTCTGAACTTGAGCGCTCACTCAACAACCACTTTAATATTGTGGCCCTCTGGTGCTATTACTATCACAGTTGGAAAAAATTCAAAGCACTAAGCTAAACCTATATGGTATGCCAGTCTGTTGTTATTTCAATTAGAATATGCTTTTTTATTATAAAAGTAAAATGCATATTTAATTCAGACACATAGAAAGTTCTAAAAAGGGAAATTAAAATAACTCATAGCCAGTAGTGCACTGATAAATATTTAACAGGCTCTTTGAAATGCATGTGTTGATACTTATATAAGTTTTTATAAATTTTAGTGATATATAAATAACACTAAAATACACGATACTCTTTTATTGTCAATTCTTTCTAACCTATTAACTTTCACAGAATGCTTTCATGGATTTTTGCCAAATTCCTTTATCTGTAGAAAACTATGGTTGTGGGGCACTGGATGGCTCAATTGGTTGAGCATCTTGATTTCGGCTCAGGTCATGATCTCAGGTTGTGAGATCAAGCCCTGCATTGGACTCCCCACTCAGCCCAGAGTCGGCTGGAAATTCTTTCCCTCTGCTCCGCCCCATGCTTCTGTGTACTCTCTCTCTGTCCCTTTTTCTTTCTCTCTCTCTAAAATAAATAAATAAGTCTCTTTTTTTAAAAAGAAAAAG